ATTTAAATAATTGCTATTATTACTATTAGAAATAGAGAGGTTGGAAAAAACCTTTTTGATAAAAATAAGAATAAGAAGAATCATGAGATGCATGAAAAAAGTTAGTAGTTTTGTAAGAACTATCTTGTAATATAGATATTTATGTTAGTTTGACATTGAGTTTGTATAAAAGTTTTTTTTAGGAGTAGAGGTTGGTAAGTTGTAGGTTTTGTTTTTTTTAGTTAGTTTTGTAATATTCTGAGAAGCTTCTCATATGTGCTGATGTTGGTTTCTTAGTTGCCAAATATCTGAGTAGAACCAGTTTAAAGTATTGTTTGCAAGTTTAGTAAAGAAGTTTGTAGTTAGTTTGTTAAGTTTGTATTCTATTTGTATCTTAGGATATATATTTTATATGTATCTAATAATATTTTCTTTAATAAATAACAGGCAAGATCGCTCAAGTTAGAAAAAGTAATATAATGAATACAAAGATATTTATATTTAAATTAGCTTCTACTAATAAATTTAGATATAACGAAAAGGCTATACTATTAATACAAGATTAAAAAATTATTTTTCAAAGTCTATTTGGTTTTATTTACTAATAGCTTATTTTGTAATTTTTTTTTCTAAACCTTTATTATAAGTATACATATATTTTCAAAGCTTGTAAGCAAATTTTTGAATTGTTGTTACAGAAATATTGATAAAAGTTTTAGAAACTTGTTGTATTAAATTAGTATAATTATATTTACATAATTTTCTTATTTTTTATTTTATATACTTTTAATATTTTTTTATTTTTTTTATTTTTAAGGTAGTTTATATTGCTAAATAGATTTTATTAGTTTGATATATGAGGTTATATATGAGTTTTTCTTATAATTTGTAATTATATGAAGAATATACAATAAGCTATATATACAATTTTAGTCATTATCTATTTAAGTAATTTACTATATAGGTGATTAGACTACTTGATTAGTTTTATACTATACTGTTATACTTGTAACCTGTCTATAAGTTATCTATTTAAATATTCTGTTCAAATAAATCATACTATTACAAATTAATATTACTATAATACTAGTATTTCGATCTGCAATCTGACTAATTCAGATAGATCCAATAATTCGAATTAAATACAGATATCCGTATTCGTCAATTTTGGCTGAATTGATCCTAATTTATTTCAGATTAAGGATAAGGATTATTCGAATAATAATCCTATTTGTAGATTATCATTTCTTGCTAATACTAAATTTATTTGTTTACTTGTCATAAATAAAGCACCAATCATATAAACTATAATTACTCTTAAAATATTTGCATAATTGCAAATTATATAACCTGCTTAAAAATCCAAATTTGGATTTAAACAATTATTAGTTGAATGTATATTTTAGTTATACAAATTGCGCAATATTATAAATTAAATAAAAAATATATACTTAGAATGAAACACATTTATCAGCTTTAGATCAAATGTGATAAACGATTTCACTTTATTTATTTTATAAAAAATTTTAACAAAAGTCAATATTTTTCATTATAGCTAATTTTTAACTAGATCTAAAACTGATTCTCACTACAATCTTATTATTTGAATCAATGCTTACGATACATACAGTATTAAAAATAGCATAGTAAAATTTTGGATTGTAAAAATTGTGCTAAAAAAAAACTGGTTTTTTTTTTTTAGGAACCAAACCTTATTCTTAGCAATGAACATGATCTGATTTCACTTAATATTTATATCTCTGATATTTCTTAATTAACTAATCTTTCTCAATTTACATTTGTGTATTCCAGTTGACTATATATAGAAAAACAACTTTTGAGACATTAGCATTAGAGGTTGGATCTACTAGCCCTTTTTTTACTATTGGTCAGTATCCAGACTAATATGAATGATACCTTCAGGGTTTTAAGTTTATTATTTGTGATTTACTGAACTCAGCTCTGACTAAAAACAAACATAAATAAATTTAATTACATATATGTTACTGATTAGGATTAAGTCTAGTAAATAATAAATAGTAAACTAGAAGTCTGAGGTCCTAACGTTATTTAAAAAAAAGCCATTCAGTATAGGCCGTAAATATCTCTAATATTACTAGTTCGCATATAAAGAAAAAAAAAAAAAAAAAAGTGAATTCAAACCCTTAAGCCATTTTTTTTTCACTTAAGAAAATTAGCTTTAATTTTTTGAATATCAGTAAGGATTGGTATCTAAAAATCATATTATCCATTAATGTAATTTTAATAAGATAAATAAATATTTATACATATGCATCTTGTCTAATTTCTCAGTTTAGTAGATTTCTTGTTTCCTATTAGTTAAAGAATTGAGCTATGAATATATTGAGCGCAAATTCTGATATAAAGGTTATAAAGTTACTGATTAATAGATAGATCAACCTGTAAGATAATAATTATAGATAGATCAACTTACTTGTAAATATAATGTAATTAGTTAAATTAATAAAGATTGAAAATAAAACAGTTTGTTTTTATGTATGTATTAGTTAAATTATTAAAACTCATAAGCTAATTATAAAAACTAAGCAAACCTAATATTTGTTGGTGTTTTTGAGTATTGTGTATAGACTGTAATAGAAACCTATAATATGGAAGATGATTTCGAATATTATCATGGTAATGATTTTATTTTTGAAGAAAATTCAAGAACTTTGAACACCTTTTGCTCACCTCCAATTATAGAACCTAACATTCAAATAACAGATTATCCTGTTATAATTTTAGAAAAAAAAAAAGGTGTTAAAATATAATAGTGTTAACATATAATATAAATAACAACTTTAATATGCTAATAGTTTTACAAATTTGTTTAACCAAAGAACTAGAAAAAAAAAAGCAATATAAGTGCAAAAATCCGTTATTTACTCATAAATATTTTGACAAGATTGTTAATGATAAGAGTGAAGAGATTTGGATTTGCAAAATCATAAATGAAAATGGTTCAAAATGTGACAAAGAATACAAAAATATTGGAAGTTCAACAGGAAACTATATTACGCACCTTAGAGTTGGCTATGAAATCATTTCATAAGATGGAATAGAAGCTATAAAAAAGTATGTTTTTTTTTCTGTTTTTTCTTTGTTAATTTTTTTTTTTTTTAATATTTTTTTAATATTTTTATTTTATTTTATTTTTTAATTTTTTCTCTTTTTTAGCAACGAAATTCCAAAATTATAGATTTTGTATGAAAAACCTACTCCCATCCTAAATACATTCAAAAAAAGTGTAAAGAAACAATTCTTAAATGGATATTACTTACAAACCAGCTTTTTTCTACAGTTACTAATGATGCATACAAGGAAAAAATAGTTGAGTTTGATCCCTCTTTTATTATACCAGGAGAAAAAAAAATCAGAACTATAATTGTTAAAAGTTACAAATATAATCAGGAAAATTTAAAAAATCTTCTTACCCAAACAGCAGAAAACATTTCTCTTACGATAGATTTTTAGTCTAGTAGAGCTAAGCATGGATATCTCGGAATCACTACAACCTGAATTATGCCAAATTTTGAAATTAAAGATGTCATATTAGAAAATAAATACGTTCCTTCTCCATATACTAGTAAAGTTATTGCTAATAAAATTTCTAAAAGTATTGAAGCTTGGAATCTTGGACATCGCATAACATCAATTACTACTGACAATGGGTTAAATATGGTTGTAGCTTTCCTCTTATTGAACCAAAAAGATAGATGTGATGAGATTAAACATCTTCCTTGCATAGCCTATACTCTTCAATTAGCAATCAGAAAGGGACTTGCATCAGCTGAAATCTTAGTAGTACATACAAGAAGATTAATTCAATTTTTTCAATCTCCAAAACAGATAGAAAAGTTAGAGTAGTTTTTTTAGTTAACAACTAATCAATTAATCAATTAGTTGCAATGAATTAATTGAGTAATTAATTAATTTTAATCCATTCATTATAACTAATCGATTAATTCTTTAATCGATTAGTTGCAACTAATCGATTAATAAATTAATCAATTAGTTGCAACTAATTGATTAAAGAATTAATTACTTAATCAATTAGTTGATATCTAAAAATGTTTAATTAATTAGTTTCAACCAACTAATCAATTTTTTTCACTTTTAATTATAACATTAGGTTAGAAGAAGTGCAAATAAAGCTAGATTATGCAGATATTATATATTGCATTCAAGATGTGTCTACAAGATGGAATTCATCATACTATTCTTGGGATGTCTTTTTTTCTTAAAGGATGCTATTATTCAACTTCAAGCTGATTTGTATACGTTAGTTGATTAGGAGGTTAAAAAAGATTATATTAAATTAAAAAGTATTCTTCTTTCAGATAACGAATAGAAGCTACCAGACAAACTCATTGACTTACTAATACTATTTGAGAAGGCAACATGAAAGTTCTCAGGAAGTACATATATAACATTAAGTAAAGTTCTTCTAACTATTAAAGAAATGATTTATGACTTAGCAAGTGAAGCACCATTGAATAATGATCTTTTCTTGAATGAAGATACCGTGTTTGAATTGGATAAAGAAATGCAACCTATAAACTTCAATAATGATGAAATTATTAGTAATATTACTAAACAAAGTATCTCAATTAAAAACTCATTAGACATGACAGGTATTTTGGATGAAATTAACCAAAATATATATAATACATTAATATACTATTAGAATAATCCAAATGATCTTGGTTTAATAGCGACCTTGCTAGACCCTCGTTACAAAAGTTTAGATTTCCTTAGTGATGATTCTGAAAAACAACTTACTATTCAAAAACTTTATGATGAATTTAGTAAAATAGAAAATTCAGTATCTAAACTTTCAATTAATCTAACACTATCTAACACAGAATCTTCAATATATTTATATAAAGCATATCTTCAACAACGTCAAATAAAAAGAAAAAAAAAAGACAACTTAGTTCTGAATCTACAAATCCTTAATGAAATTTCAAATTATTTGTCATTGCTATTAGCATTAAAAACAGATGATCCTTTGAAATAGTAGAAAATGCACTCGCAAAATTTTCTAAAACTTATTAAAATTGTCTAAAAGTATCTTGTAATACCAGCAATGTCAGTATCAAGTGAAAGATTATTTTCAGATGCTAGCAATCTTATTGGCCCTAAAAGAATAAATTTAGATTCAAGTTTAGTAAGTCAAATTCTATTTTTAAAAAGAAATCTGGGTAAAATAGATGTTTTTGAACTAGAATGGAATGAGAACAACATAGATCATAGTAAAAAGGATTGAAAGCCTACTTGAAGTTCGATAATCTGTAAAAAAAAGAAAAAAAAAACAGTAGTATATTGTTAATACTGCTATAAATAATATTTCTAAACACATAATTCAAAGTCAAATAAAGTTTAATATTTGGTTTTTTTGTCATTACAAGTTCACTTCTGCGCGATTAAGGTTTAAGTTATATTATAGATATTAAATGAACAAAAATAGCACCATTATTAAAAATCAGATACTGAATTCAGATATTGTGATACTAAGGATGTTATATATATCAAGCTGCTGTCAAAAGCAGATTACCATTTTAAAAAAAATCAATACTATAACTTTCAAAGCCATATTTTGATGAATTTCTAAGCTATCTTGATGATTTAGTAGTCAAAAGAAAGTTTAAACTTTAAGCTTTCTTTTGACTAGTAATTCATTTTAATAGCTCAAAAACTCATCGAGATATAGACTTTGAAAGTTAAGATATCGATTTTTTTTAAAATATTAATCTGCCTTATTTCTATTGACAGTAGCTCAATATTTAAAATTGGTTAATAATAGCATCCCTATGTGAAAAGTAGAGAAATTTCTGATTGGCTACTATTCAAAAGGCTTATTTGAATAGTTACCTTATTTGTTTTCTCTCTGAGGTCATATTTTTAAGCAAAAGGATGTACCGCAATTACTCAGTCGTATATATATGTACATAGTGTATCTTATAAAAGATACATATCATTTTCATGCAAATTGCATCGTATAAGGTAATGTGAAAAGTAGTATAGTTAGAACTACAAAAAAAGTAGCGTAGTATAACAAAAATAAAAAAAATTATCTGTTGTATTCAAAATAGTTCATCATACAAAAATTGCAATTAATTAAAGTAAATAGTAAGATAAGCTGAGCTCGTTTTATGTTAAAACATATACTGTATATACTTTATTAATATTTAAAGTCTTAATTTATAATTGCTATCAACTTTTTTCTTGTATAATTTTTTTATAACATAAAATTACTATGCAAATATTAAAAATAAAGCAAATAAGTCTATATTCTCACTCTTTAATAATATTAGCTATGGCCTTAGATAAGATCATTTATATGAAATTATATGATTTGTAAAATGTATACTAATTCTGCCTTGTACAAGATATATCTCTAGTATTTACATATATATCTGATCCGAATTCTAATCTAATCCAAATTTGTTCAAATTCGAATAATAACTCAAATACATTTTAGAAGATCTGATTTTAATTCGGATAGTTCCTGAAGAATAGGATCGAAACACTATCTAATACTAAGCTAATTAGTCTAATTGAGCATATCAAAAAACTTTATACTAAAATACTAACTAATCAACTCAATATTATTTTAACTAAATATAATATACTATCTTCTTTTAATTATATTGTATTACTAGATAATAGTACTAATATACCTATTAATATTCTTAACAATATTATAGAAGATGCAACATGTAATGAAAAAGAACTCTGGCTCTTATCTTAGGATATAAGCAAAGTATATAACTCAGTTAATTTTGATCTTTTTAAACTAGCCCTCCAAAAAATTCAATTCCCTATACTTCTTATTAATATCCTACTTAACCTTCTTCTTGACTGAACAAACAAAGTTATCATAAACTTTGAATTAACAAATTTATATCAGATTCAAATAGTATTGATCAAAGCGAAACAATAACTCTACTTTTTTAGCAAATCTACTATAATCCTCTCATATCTAAGATCTCCAAAGAAATAAAAGGTTACTAGCTATTTGCAATATAGTCTGAAAATATATGACAAACCAAACTAAACAAAATACAAGCTAATATATCAGTTCTAGCTTATATGGATAGTACATTTTGGATCGCAAAGTCCAAACTACAACTCAATAAAATAATTAATATAGCTACATCTTTCTTCTAAATAGCAAGTATTTAAGTCAATCTAAACAAATCTATTCTAGTTTCTAATACTATAGATCTTTATAGTATTAAATTCATTAACTCTACTATTACACCTATTTCTGCAAAAACACTATTCAAATTCTTTAGTTGTTGATTTACACTAGATAACAACTAAAAAGCTCAAATTAATTTAATATCTAAAGAGGCTTTCTCTCTTGCTAATATTTTATATACAAAAAATATTACTGATAAACAAGCTAGTTATATTATTAACAAAGTAATTATTCTAACTTTAGAATATAGAATACAAAATATTGTTATTCCTTTAACAATATGTTGAAACATTCTTTTAAAATACCTTACTGTTGCTAAACACAAAGAAACTATTCTAAAATACTTCCAAATAATACTATGCTTAACCATAATATTTATAGCATTAAAAATATTTGAGATATTTAATTACAATACCATATAACTAACTTTTTATTATAACTTAATAACTCTGATTTATTAGGAGTATCTACTCAAATCCAAGTTCAACAACTACAAAATATTTTGTGGTCTACTACAAATATCCTTTAATATCTAAACCCTATAATCAAAAAATCAAACAAATATACAACAACTTACAAAATTATAAAACTTTTTAATATGCTGAATATAGTTATTATAGCTAATAATAACTATCAGTGATTTAAAACTTATTAACATAATACATATCTACTAGAACTAATACTTAACAAACATCTTTTTTATACAATATTTAAACAATAGCTTTGTAGAAAAAATTTTATGTATTTAGACTAACTTACAATCTCTGAAAACAATATCTTTCTTAAATAGCAATATATTTCACTTTGATTACAATATCTTTCTAAAAAAAAATAGCTTTGTGGTTTTCCTTCTTAGAAGAAACAATTACTACAAGTTTATATACTAGAGAGATTATAGATTCAATATCTTTATACTCTCCTAACTCTTTTTCTCTAAATATAAATCATTTCAAAACCAAAAAACTATAGATACTTTTAACAACAAATAATCAAATTATCTTAGAAAAGGCTTATAAATTCTTTTCAAATAATAATACTATATCAATAACTCATTAGATTATAGACTATAACTCAAATCATATAGCCTACTATCCAAACCTTTTTATCAACTACTTACTATATTCAGATTGTAGTCTAAATTCTAACTATATTACAAACTTATATACTATTAATGTATTAGCTACATATAGTACTAAAGTTTGAACTAGATCTTTCACAAATAATCCTTTAAACAAATTAAAACTTAATGCTAATTTAACAAATTTAATTTACAATCTAGCAATTAGATATCCACTATTTATTCTACTGCTTCCAAATATTAACTTAAAAAATAATTACATATCTGAAATATTTGGATCTAATGAAATTTTAAAAACTCTGCAAAATATAACTAAACAAAATTTAGATCAACAAGAGCTTATATTTTATATTGATAGTTTAGTGCAAAATATATGTACAGACCAATATTCTATGAGAATTGGCTAGGTTCAAATTTACAACAACTAAGTAATCAAAACTTTCATTACACAAATCAAAATATGACTATCATCTTACAAAGCAAAGCTTATTGCAATACTTTCTGCTATAAGCACCTCATTAAAAAATTGCAAAATACAAATCTTTACTGACTCACAATTAGTAATCTCTAAATTCAACAAAATTCAACAACAAACATCTAACTATAATACCAAAACAAAATATAATTACTGGCTAATTTAGAAAACTTTATTCAATTTTATTAAATTACAAAAAATTGATATTGTCTTTCATAAAGTTCAAGCACATAGTGACAATGAATTTAATAATATAGCAGACTTTCTAGCATCACACTACTCACTTTTAGAATTTTTTGAATTCAACTACACAAATTATTTTAATAATTCTTATATATTCTAATAGAAAAATTTTTCTATTGAACAACCAACATGTAAATTCATTAAAAACATTTGTAATGCTTTCACAATAGCTTTATAGTCCTTACAATTTAGAGCACAACTATGAAAACAATTCTCAAACCAAGTTGACTGGAATATAACTTAAGCAGTAATTAATAATAATCTCTCACAATCATTCAACTACACCAACTACAAACTGAGTAAGACTAAAACTTTCTGAGTTAAAAATCTTCTCAGTAATCTTCTAACTATATCTCAACTACATAAATACTATCTTAATATCATTAAATCAAAACAATGTATTCATTGTGATCAATTTGATAATAGTATACATTAGCTATTTTGTCCTAACTCACAATTAATTTTCAATATAATTAAATCAAATATACAATCTAACTTTATAACAAATAATCTCGATATCTTATCTTCACAACTCCTTAATCTTCAAAACTTATTTATTAACTATTACTCTTTACAACTACCTTAACTATTTTCTAATAATATTTTACTTCACCAAACTATTACAGATCTCATACCAAATGATCTTACTCAGTTACTATATTTATCTACTGACTCTTACAAATCTGCTTGCTAACTCATAACAACATTATTTATAAAAATATCAGAATTAATATATGAGCAACTATGGAAACCTTATTATACCAAACTCTCTGAATAGAAACAAACAAACAATATTAATCTCTATAAACAAACTACATAAGCTAATATTATACAATCAAGTTCACTTTTAATATATAATCACTTCAACTTAAATGAAATTACTTGTATATGTAGCTATTCTGAAAAATAATACAAAAATTCTTTATATCTACTGAAAGGATTAGCTTATTATAAAATATATATTTGGTCTATTGCATGAATTAAATATAGTATTCTAACTAATAATATTATCAACATTCAAATCTAAATAAATCATAACCATTCTAGTAGGTTTAGGTCATAGATAAAATAGTCTGAGTTTTAAATCTTGTTATATAGTTTAAGATTATACCTTGTATTACATAGTATATAAAAATTTCTTTGAAATTTTAATTAAATTATTAATAAAGATAGAAATATGATCTCACCTTAGCTTTGCTTAAAAAAAATATATATATATATATATTTCTTTTATTTAGAAAGTGTATACTTAAAGTTAATATTTAA